AATGGCATTTCTTGTGGGTTAATTAAATTTTTTGTTTTGGTTAATTCGATTGAGTTAATTGACACTCCATGGGCCCCAATTCATCAGAAATATGGTAGATAGGTATTCATGATGTCGACCGCAGAGTGCGTGGCATAATGATCTCATGTTTCCGTTGGTTTTTGCGGTCAGCTCTTGAATGCGGATTGCACAAATTGTTAACTCGGCCACTGGTACTAGTGTTCTGTTTTTCAGTCTGGTCAAATTATGTACATATGTTTGTATGCTCCCTCATTGAGTTTGTTGTCAGTATGTAATTGTTTTAAAATTGTCACAATTGCTGGTCCCCCTTTTTTTTGGGGGCGAGGAGGGGGGCGTGGCAAGCAACAAGGGCAAGGTTGCTGCAGTTGACAAGCCGCAGTGGCAAGCTTTTTAAAAATTTATGCTGCACAGGGCACAGGGCACAAGGACAAAAAGAAAAAAAACACAAAAAAAAGGAGGTTGGGTCAGGGGTTCCGAAAAGAGGTTAGTTAACATATGACCTGCCGAGGTCCGAGTTCGGTCCATGTCCTGCATCCGGTTTCCACACAGCACACACAACAATAAAACGAACGAACGACGCAACACTTATGTTGGTTTACTTTTGCTACCAGCTCTTTTCCGACCATCCTAACCCCATCCACCCATTTTCCTAACCCATCCCCCCCCCCCTTTTGGCCACACAATAAAGTGCAGCCAGCAGCCAAGAAAACTGTTCTAGCTGAATTCCAACAGCGTGACAGTTGCCGTTGAAATATATGTATAACCTTCAATGGAGGAAAAGTCCACAGGCTAGCATAAAATCCACAAGATTAAAAGAAAGATGTACAAAATATTGGATTAAATATTTATTCTTGCTTGGTAATCCAAAATATTCCCCTCTCTTATAGGCCTTCATCTCTTATATAATGGGCGGTTATTACCTCCCCATCGCAGAGTCCCAAAAATAGCGCCGTATCGAATGTCTCCAGTTTGCGTCCTTCGTATGCGTAGAACTCCAAGTCATCAAGATCAAATCCGTAGGTTTCAGCATAGTTGGTCATCAGGTGCTTCAGGGGCTGTTTTATGTGAATGGGGAACGACCACTGTCCCTCTGCGCGTTCTACGATTAAGGAAATGTAGTTCTCCATTTCGATTGGATATTATTTTAGGTTTTATTTCTTATTTAGTTATTTTTTCTTTCGAAAATTGAATGTCTCCGACTTCGTAGCTGGATTTAAACTGAATAAAATGGTGATACAAATCATATAACACATTTTGACAACTTAAAAAAATCATAGCCTTCTCAAATTAGTTCAAATTTTCGGTGAAATTCATTGTTGTTAAAATTATACAAATTTTTGTATCTTTTGCAATTTTCTATTCATTTTATTTTTAGTAAAATTGTTTTTCTAAATTTATTACCAAATTCCCTAGTTAATTTTTAGGTAGTTTATTAGTGAGTTAATTTATGATTTAATTACATAACAATAAACAGAATACTTAAACTTGGCATACAAATTGTTATATTTATTGGTTAATACATGATAGAAAATAAATTTTAAGGAATGGGAACATGTTTAGAGTCTTAAATTTAGAAACAGAAGTTTTTGTTATTAATGTCTGAAAAGATTAGAATGTTTTGTTGAGCGAGTGGGTGTTCACACTACAAGTTCAATTCAATACTTTTCAGATGAAATAGAGTCACAAAATAAACAAACAATTGAAAGACTTAAAAAGTGCACCATGAACCTAGTTTGTAGTGACCTAAACTACATTGTGGCAGTCTATAAACAGTCTGTAAAAATATTTGCAATTTTCCCTCAGAGAATTTACAGTGCGACTTTCTTGAATTGTGGGCTCTTCCGCATTTTCATTTTGTTTGTTGTCTTGCATGTGTTGACCATGACATGAACTCGTGTGTGACGAAAACAAATGACTGACGCAGATGTAATGGCATCCTACCAACTCACACGGCCCAGTCTCATTCTGTTTCTAATTAAAGGCCACGTAAGAGCAAAAAAAAAAAAATATGGGGACAAATTGCACAAACTGGAATTTAATTTTATAAATAACAAAAAAATAGGAGGGGAAAAAAAACAATAAATAAGAAAAATAGCGAAATAAAATTAATGGATCTCGTGTCTCCATCTCCTTCTTTCACTTTTCACTTTTGCCGTCTCGCTTCTTCACTTCTGGTGACCATAATCACAGCTGCATTGTGTATAGCAATTAAAGCAACAAATGCAACAACGAAAAAATAAAGGGGCAAAAGGAAAAACTGAAGAAAAACTGAGGGAAAAACTGTTGGAAAAATCACGGGGGAAAAAAAGGGGAGCAGAAAAAGTTCTTGTTGTTTGCTGTTTTAATGGTTTTCAATGATTAAATTGTTGATAACAATTTTAAGCTGTACCCGTTCAGGCTCCACTCCTTCACTACCCATCTCTTTCTTACGCTCTATAGGCATCTCTTTCGCTCTTTATATATACATATATGAAATATATAACTGTTTGTGTGTGTCCCTCGTTAGCATCTTGTTGTTTTTATTGTCCGTTGACTAACTTTATACAGACTATGGGCCATGTAAAGTTGAACATGGGCATAACAATGTGCCCTTAACTTGGCCCACAGACTGCAGTTTTGCGCCCCGTCTCTTTTTAACCTTTTGTAGCCATCTCCCTCTCTGTCTATCTTGCCGTCCTTGTCTCTGTCAATTTCAATGTGCAATTACTTGGAATTTGTTTGAAGTTTTCCAAGCAGCAGCAGTAGCAGCAGCAGCCGGAAAAGTTTCTTCCTTTTTCCCCCGTCGCACACATTAAAAATTTAATTAGAGAGTGCCTCGACATCAGAAATCAAAACAAATCGGGCGAAAAACTTTTTCAGCAAATTGAGCCGAATGAGAATTTTCGGTTTGAGTTGCATAATCTCACTCTGTCATCCTTAATTTATTGGGGCATTCATTATTTGTGTGACTTACTGTTAAATGTTGAGCTTTTAATTTGTCAACTGATGTATATATGAAAACTTTGAGGCACTCTTTTTGACATTAAATGTGTACAAGTTGAGTACTAATTTAATTTGATTAAAAGTTGTTTACAAAAATGTAGATGCTTTAAATTTGTTTAATCAGCTAATATGATTTTGTAAATCACGGTATACCAAAAATGGTTTTAATTTTAAAAGAAGTTTCAACATTTTACACATTTTAAAAAATATAGAATAATTTAATAAACAGATTAATGGTTTTGTTTCTTGATTTTCAACAATTTTTAAAAAGAGGGACCATTTTTTTTGGCCTTAAATATAATGGAATCACAATAAATCGCCTAGAGAAAAGTAATTTCTTCCCGTGCCATGCCTTAAATAAACTCTTTTATTTCGTATATCCGGTTTTGGCCTCCTCAATTCGTTTCGCGGCTTAGGCATTCTCCTCTGTGTTTTGTCCTCCGCTTTGGGGGTCCATTTGGGACCCGAGGACCGCTTTGTCATGCTAAGGGTTAAGCCGAAGTGGTTAGAAAGAGGATTTGAGAACGGGGGTTGGGCATAAATAACGACACGTTGTGCATTTTGATGGGAACTCGGGAGTTTTTTTTTTCTTAGCTTGGGGATTGGCCACGGTATATTACTAGGGGGTTATCAACAAAAAAAAAGTGGAGATCTCGACCCTGACTTCGGTTTAGCCTTTTCCGCATCATTGCCCCACTGTGTGGCTGGAAAAAAAGGGTTAGTTGTGTAAAAACCACACGAAAATGCTTTTATGATTATTATTCCGTATTTTTTCCGTTGATTTTTATGATTATCATGACTTTGATGTCTGTTAAATGATTGTAAATATTCATCGAAGTCATGTTAAATCCGTTCAATTGAAACCTTAACACCAAAAATGAAAAAAAGGGAACTATTTACCACCCCCCATGAAGTTGTTTACAATGGAGTTTAAGTCCATTCAATTTTCATGGCTGTCAGTTTATCAAATATGCGAAATATTTCAAAATATATTTCCCAACTGTATAATACAATCGAATGGGAGCGACACACAAGCCAATGGTAATCGTGACATTCCGAAAACCATTGGTGGGCCAGTAAATAAAAGAAAAAGGCAGGCAAATTTATTTGATGCTTTGACCATAAAAAGTGCAACAAAATCTCGAGTGCCAACAATTGTTTTACAGAGAAGAAGTAAAAAAGATCTGGGGTAAAAAACCCTACATTATCCATGCACAAATAGAGCAAAATGTTCAATGCATAAACAAGCATATTTCATTTTACTTCAAACTCTAAGTTTGCCATGAATAAGGGATGAGTTTGAGTTGTTCGGTAAAATATTTCACAAATATTCACATTCAGTTGGCAGACAGTTTGAAACTAATCGATTAAATTGAGACCCGCAGTACCATTGGTTATTCGCAATAGTTCACCGAATTTTTTAGAGAAATGATTTTTAAATGGAAGTTTTTACCTATTTTCATATAACTATTTGTTCCTTTGAGTATTCCCAACATTTTGTGCCGTACCTTATCATTTTGTTCAAAAAGTTGTTGGCTTTTATTTTTTTGGGCTTTACGAGCTGTTCTATGGAATCGACAATCCCTTGGGGGTCTCGAGTTTTATGTCTCTTTTATGAATTCGAAATTTCAGCACACGCACACCAATGCCAAAAAAAAGCCATTGCAAACTTTTCACAAACACACACACACAGAGCACAATAAGCATTAAAAACAAGGCTATAACTTTGGTCCACTATCTGCTTAGCTGCTGGCCAGATCTGCTGTAAATAATCATATATAGTATATATACTCTATATACAGTTTTTCCTAAATATATATATATATAAACGTAAATGTACTGGTATGTGTATGTGTCAATGTATGTGCGTTTGCCTGCCCGTTCCTTAAATTACAACAAAAGCACATGAAAAATCTTTAAAGCAATCAAAAAACGATAAATATATATATAAATGTATATGCATTTAAGTAACGTATTTAATTTATGCAAATGAAAAGTGCGCAGAGGCCGAAAGAAAGACGTGAAAACAAACGACAAACAAATTCAAAATTAATTTGCATTGAATAACAAAGGAAACGCTTCGGTTTCAATTTCAATTTCAGCCAAGGATAAAGCGCAAACCCTTAGACAACAACAAAAAAAATAAAATAGAAAAAACTGATACAAAAGAGAAGCCAAATGAGGGAAAATGAAGTGCCAAAGTGTTGAAAATAAAGCGAAAGCCAAGAGACGAAATTGAAAACGAGTAGAAAAGGTTTTTTCCGTTCCGTTATTGCTCGGTAAAGCGCGTTCGCTTCCGTTTCGTTCCGTTGCGTTTCGTTTCGCTGCGTTCCGTTCCGTTTCGTCTCGTTTCGTTCCGTTATCGTTATCGATTGCAACCCTGCCGTTACCGTTACCGTTTCGCTCGGCAGACATTTAAATGGCTACCAGCTGCTGCTTATGATGGAGACATTCCTCGTCCTCGGCCTGTGTTTCATCCTGTACGAGGCATTGGATTTCTTTCAGGGCTGCATTCACAGTAATACCCCATCGCCCAGCGATCAAATCGAAGCCTATCGCCGCGAACTCGACGAACAGCGCCAGCAGCAGCAGCAGGAACAATTTCTAGCCGGATTGACGCCATTACTGGGCGCTCAATTTGCCGCTGCCGCCGCAGCCGCGGCCGCTGCCGCCGGTTCGCAGTCGACGTTGGGCAGCACGACCACGCCCACCGCCTCCACGGCCAGTGTTATAAGTGATTCATACGATCAGGAATCGCAATCACAATCGCAATCCCAATCGCAATCGCAATCGAATCAAAATCAACAGCATTCGTTGAGCACTCCCGGTCTATTTCGTCCCGCTGCCTTGGGCTATTACGATCCAGAGGATCCATTGCATGCCACAAATTCCTTGCCCCGTGACTTTTACTATCTGCAGCAACAGCAGCTAAAGAATAAGGTCAGCTCAAGATCGTTACTCTCCAAGTTCTCGTCGACCAACTCGGATAATCGTATACATCCCGAGGCGGGAGCTAATTCGGGTCACCATCATAGTGTCCTGGGAACAGCGGCGGTTATAACCAGTCAACCGTTGCCTTCGGGCGGTGAGATACCTTCCAGTCTCTTCGATCAGCCAGGACAACCGGCTGTGGTGGTGCCACCACTGCAACTGCAACCCTCATCACCACTCTTTGTGGAGCTGAAGAGGGCCATTATAAGTCAGAATCCCAATCAGAATCAGAATCAATATAGGAATCAACCAAAACAGGAAGCCGAAGAATCACAGTGTCCACAGTGCGAAGAAGAGCAGATACAATATTTAGCCGAGAATCTAGACGATCTTGTAGAATCCGAAGAGCAGCAGTATTCTCCAGGTGAGGAAGAAGAGGACGACGACGACGAGGAGGAGGAGGACGAGGACGACGAGGATCGGGAGGAGCAGCATTCGTACGTGGGAGGTGCCACCAGTGAACCGGATATTTGTACTGCCACACGACAGCAGCAACAGCATCATCAACAGCAGTTGGCCAGGATACATCACATCGCCATCGACGACATTGCAACTGGACAGGATCTACACCATCATCATCTCAGCATTTCGGGACAAACGACGTTGGGCGCCAATTCGCACGCCGACTTCAGGGAAATCGAGTGCGAGCGACTGCGACGCAAGTGCGTTAGCGTTAAGCGCATCTATAGCATATCGGAAAAGTTCTAATTCAGATCAGATCACTACTCAAACTCAATTCGATATCTCTCAGCCATCATACCTGTACAGCCCTTCTTCACCATCTTGCACTTCAATCGATCTTAAATATATATCGAAAAAAAAAACAAACCAAAATCTAATCCAAAACCAATCAAAATCGAAAATCGCCAAATCAAAAACAAAAATCACCAATCAAAAAATCAAAGCAAAATCAAATCGAAATAAAAGCAAAATCAGTTTTCAAATTCAGTTCACCAAAAATCGTACCAAATGCAACCAAAATCACAAAATTGCCCAAAGCGAAACACCCCACACAAGGTTAGCAAAAAGTAAAAAAAAAAAAAGAAAACCATAAGCCAACAAACTGAAACTCAAACAAGAAAACGAAATGGAACCTAAACCAAGAAGCAAAAACCGACACAAAAAAAAAGAATTTTTCTAAAAATATATATAGTACAAGATTGTCAAAAAAAAAAGAATTTGCACAGCATTTCTCGAACATGATTACATTTTCAATTTTTCTGTTTTCTCACCTGCCTGTTCTCACTGTTTATCCGTTCTTTTTCCACCATTCTTCACTTCAGGTTCTCACATTTGGTCCTTCGGCTTGCACTTTTTCACCATAGACGGTTATAGTTTTCACCTTGATTCAACTCAATGATATTATAGCATATATCACGATCATAAGAAGGTTGTTTTTCACCCCTAATAACCGAAGAAATGATATATTTAGCCATATTTCCTCAGAGAAGTGGTCACCACATGTATATTTTCTCACCTTTCTGCACTTGCTTTGTTTTTTTTTTTTTATTAGAATTCCATTTTTTTTACTCACTGGACAAGAACTTGCACCCAACCCACCTTTTATACGTAAATCACCCGAATCTTTTCTTCTTCATAGCGCACCACATTCCACCCAGAAAAAACTCCACCCTCTCTCTCTCTCTCTTTATCTCTGTCACACACATTAGCCACCAATTTGTCACCTGTTTTTTCTCTCTCTGTATTGTTAAGCCCGGCTCTAATAATTCCCAACTTTTTGCAGCTGCGAAACCACTCAACACAATCGCACACGTGTGGTGTCCGAAGAGTACTAGTAAGGTTAAATCCCAAACTACTTTAACATACAGATTCTTGCATATTTTATTTGGATAAAAAAGGATGTCGTTATTTAATTTTTTTTTATTTTTGTATATTTGGTTTAGTTAGAGAGAGAAGAGAGCACAGAGTTTAAAATTCTGACTTCTATGTATAGTGGGTACTCTCGAAACTTTTTACTTTTGTTTAGATTGTTGGGTTAACTTTGTTTTTTTTTCTTGTTGCTGCCTCGCTTTAATTTTTTTCTAGTTTCTATTTCCGTTCTCTCTACGATTCCTTTTTTTCCTGTTTTTTTTTTTGTCGTCCTGTGAGAATTCCTTGGGTCTAAAGCCACTTGGGGGGACTGAACAACAAATATGCTAACTAGTTGGCTTTGGCCAGGTCTTTGTCCCAGTCTCTTCGTTCCTGGTATGGCTTTTAAACCTCTGCTTTCGAGTGTTATGCAAAGTAAATTGTACATAATTGTCAGGACTAGCAAAACACACACACACACACATAGACACAAAGATATAGACTCTCTTACACATATATGCAAATGACAGGAGCTGAAGACGAGGACAATGACTAATTTTGCTGTCATTGTTGGAGAAAAAATGAAAAAAAAAAAATGGAAGAAAGGAAAAAGGGGGGCAAAAAGGGAGAGAGAGGCAGAAAAGCTGTATGGCATTACTATCATATCTTACAAATTGTCGCAGCAGACCCCCCCTCTTTTCTAGATATATATGTGTATATCCTTTCAATTATTCGATATGTGGTAGAATCCTCTTGTTGTATTCTTTTATTCTTTGGACCTCGTTTTCATCTCCAGTGACCATGTGTGTTTGTACATCCTTGGCCCGCATCAAGTTAACTTTCCCCACATGTCCTTCTTCATCTCCTTCTCCTTTCTACTTTCTCCCCTTTCGACCATTTGTCTCTCCCTTTTGTGCTCGGCGTTCAACATTCAACGTTCGTAATCTTTTGGTCTTTTCTTCATCATCGTTTAGCTTGATGTGGTTTTCCCCGACTTAATCAGTTTTACTATTGTTTGTTTTTACCAAACACACACACACACAGCTACCCTCTTGCCAAATGCGTGTGTGTGTATACATATATGGCACACATATAACATATGCGTACGAAATAATAGCACTAGATATGGATATAAAAAAATATCTATCCATGTCCTGTATATAAAAATATAGCAATTGGTATATCTAACTAAGTTTGTTAATATAAATTGGCTAGTTATCAAAGTTTCATTAACTACAAACTTACACAACTTAATAGAAATGGAAAGATCATTGAAAATAAATTTAAAATATGATTTGAAATCTCCAAGGATTTGTGTTTGTATATTTAAGAAGTTCTAGTATATGATTTCAATTCTGAAAATTCAATTTTTTTAAGATTATCTTTTTGTCAACATTTTTCAATTTGCTATAATATCGAATTCTGAAATTTATATTTTTCTTTATGGTTAATTTTTTGGCAATATTTTTTTTATGAAAAACTTTGTCAATATAAATTCGCTATATTTTACATTTCCATTAACTACAAATTTACAAAACTTAATAAAAATAAATAGATTATTGAAAATGATCTCCAAGGATATGTACGATGATGATCTGTAAGATGATCTTTTTGGCAACATTTAAGAGGTGCTATTATTTCGCTCGCAAACGTATTTTTATAAAAAGCTTTTTTTTTTTTACTCATTTGACCAGCACAGAAAAGTATGCTTTATTTTCTGTTTTGTGTTCGACTGGCAGGAACTGGCAATTATATTGTGAAAAAGCATGTGTGTGTGTTTGAGGGCTGGGGACTTCCCATAAATGCTACATCATGGCAAGTATTTAAGCCATGGAGAACCATTTCTTACCGTTTAGCTCCCAGAGCCGCCAGAAACACATTCATCTCGGCCTTAACCCGCTTACATACCATTCTGCGCTTATTTCATTTTTTTTTCTTTTCGGTTTTTCATGTTTTGGTTCATTCAAGGGCAATATTCTTCTGCATCATTAACCCTCGACCGACCGCCATGAGAAATGACCCACAGCCATGCAGTCACGGTCAGCTTAACCCATTCGTGTCTGCTATCTCTTGCGAATATTCCCAAAATCAAATCAATAGTCGGCCAAGTGAAATTAATTTCGCTTTAAGGAAATTTAAGTGAAACGAATGCTCCCTACTTATACTCAACTTAATTTACCCTAATCCGTGTGTGTGTGTGTGCCTGTGCTGGTTTTAGCCCCCACTCATCTATCGTGGGTTAATTCCCAAAGACGTATTAGCCCGGCGAAATTTATCCAACTCAATTAATCTCGGCGCTCTGTTCTCTGACTTTACAGAATTGATAGCTTCGTGCGAAGGGGCGGCCCTTTTGTGATTTATTCTCGATTTTGCTACGTGTTTGGTTTAATTTTTTTTCCAGATATAAGATATCTTTTCAAATTGTGTATTAAAATATGGTACTTTTTTTATGAAAATTAAAGACAAAACAATTTTTTAGATCATTTTAAAAGTTATACCTGATAAATTCCTTTTTAAATAAACAAAATACTATAAATTACAGATAAGTTAATAAATATTCAATAAAATGTTGTGCAGTTTTTCTTAGATTCCTTAAAGTTTCACTTCATTACAGCTCTTTAAAAATGTTTGAGGAACTTTTTAGTTTTAATGGCCACTCTAAACGGCTTAACTTTAGTTGTAATTAACTTACAACTAAGTATATACTCAAAAGGTGGTCTTAATAAACCAGTTATTTATTAAATTGAAAAGCTTAAGTGCGCCACCTTTTCTCATCTCCCTTTTAAGGATATTTTTTTAAGCTTGTATGGTTAATTATTTTTGCAGCTGGAAATGCCGCAGGATAAAGTTTACTTTTAGTTGCCCTGAATCCTGAAAAGTGTCTGTGTGTATATATATTCAATTAATGTGGAGAGCGAACGAAAGGATAGAAAATAAAAAACTTTGTTTGCTCTATCAGCTGCGGCTTGATGAGTGCCAGTCGTTTTGGTCTGACTGTCTGTCTGTCTGTCTATGTATCTATCTATCTATCTATCTTTCTGTCTGCGGTCTGCAGTTTTAACTTGTTGAATTGACAACAAACACAGCCACCCAATGAACATAGAAAAGTTGGCACCACAGAGTGGTATATCTATATATACGTATACGATATATATATATATGCTGCAAGTTTTAATTCCGCCAAGCTGGAAAAGCCATCATCTATGCCATTGTCAATTTGAGTGTATGTGTTTTGGGATTGAAATGAAAAACCAAAAATCTAACTAAATTCAGAGCCGAGCTTCTTTTTGTTTCCTGCATTTTCCACGCGACCTTTTAGCGAACGAACAGCCAAATTGGGCAGACAACCGCGTTTTTGTAGATCATCTAGTTTGACTGTGATAACCGTATCGATTTCCTTTTGCCTCTGAGCCTCAGCTGCCCTCTCCCTTTCGAAGGCCAAATGTTCATTCTCCAATTCGCGGCGACGAGCCTTCTCACGCTCCTCAATTTGACAGGATACGCTGGTGCGAAGACAGGCTTTCTTGATGGCCTGTTCATTGGCCTCGCGTTTCATTTGCTCCTCCAATTTCTCACGATACTGGATCATCTCCTTGAGTTCCCTTTCACGTTGCACATAATAGCAGGCCTTCATTTGGCTAAGATGCTCCATTTGTTCCATATTGGCACGCTTAAGATCTGCTGCCATTTTCCTTTCCTTCTCGGCGGCTTTCCTTTCGTTTTCCCGATATTTTCTCTCCAGACGTTCGTGTTCCGCAAGGAAATGCATCTCTTCGCGATTATCCTTGGCATCCAATATCTTTTGACCCACTGCAAAGAGGACATCCCGTTTCCGCTTCACATCCGCCTCGATGGCCTCGCGTTCCGCCCTCTGTTGTCTCAATTGCTTTTCCTTTAGCTTCAGATACTCGTAGGCTCTATTCTCATCCCGTTGATCCTGCTCGCACATCATACGCACAAAATTGCGATGCAATTTGGTGTATTTATTCAATTCATCTCTGTAGGCCAATTTGCGGCGGGATCGTGATTCTCCCTCGGCCATTTCGGCCCGTTTATACTCATCCACTGCCGCACGCAAGTCTCGAGCTTCCATCCGCAGTCGATCCTGGGCTAGGAATCTTAACTTCTCACGATCACTGATTTGTTCTCGAACAGCGTTTCCGAATTGCCGACGGCGTTCCTCTTCGGCCTGATCCTGTTGCTCCACGGTGCCCCATTTGGCATTGTTGTAATCGCGATTCTTGCGAGCCATCTCCTCATCGTGATCGAGTTGGATGCGATTGAGGAGCTTTCTCTCTTGAATCTGAGCCGTCCACATGGCACTGCATTTGGCCTCGGAAATCGCCCGAGTGGCTTCTTTCACCCGCACGTCGGACTCGTATTTGGCATCCAGGGCGCGATGAAGGACCTGCAAGGTTGAATAGCAACAATTATCGAAACCGATAAAGCTATCGATATTAATATAATGTAATATTAGATGTGATATTATAGATCCACAATCAGGTATCGAAAATCTGTAGTGCATAATATTGATCTGCGTTAAGAGAACGATATTTAAAATGTCGATAATTTTATTAATCGATTTTTTCGGTGCTAAATTATAAAGCTATTAAAGAATACAAATTTATTCAGTTATGGAAACCTTTAACATTTGTAACATATGAAATTTTTTCGATATGAAAATATGAAGTGATATGTTTGGTATTTGTTAGAAACCTTAATATTTTGAAAGGATATTTTAAACATGTCTATATTTTCGATATTAAAATAGTCTGATTTTTGTATCATCAGTTATCGCTTATAAGGAAAATATTTAATTGATATTTGAAAGTTGATAAATCGGTTTTATCGATTTTAAAATCGTATTATCGGTCACTCGATATTTTCGATAGGCAATAAAAACATACCTGCAGCCTTTTGGCCTCGACTCTCCGCTCTTCATTCACATCCTCATCGGCCTCGTCATCGTTCCTTTTCTCCGTTTCC